AAGAAGGTAATTGAACAAGCAATATCACTAAAACATCTGCAAATCAACCAATAAATTATAAATTTTTGGCAGTTGATCGTAAAATTATATTACGTTTTATATTCTTTTATTCGTGTACAATTTTATTACAATTTCTCTTTAATTATTACTAAATTATTTGTTAACTATTTTAATTAAATTACTCTTTGACTAATATAATTTTATTAAATTTTTATTAAACTAATTTAAAAAAGTTACTATTTAAATAATTGTTTTTAAAACTGTTTTTCATTCAATTGTATATTTTATATTACTACTACTCTATCATAATGCATTATTAATCTCTTTTTATCTGTATAGGGGCTCAAGCACAAAAAGAAAAATAAAAAATAAGAAATTAAATATAGAAAGAGTTTATAGTCGCATCTTTTTTCAACACGTTCTTTTCCCTTTTTTCAAGACACGGAATTCTTTCTATATTTAATTCATTGTTCCTTATTCCTCTCATTGTGCATGACCCCTAAAGGTATATTTGAAGGATGAATGCTGCTCTACTTCGACGTTATAATTTCATGAAAAAAGGAAGGGAGGTTTGAGCACCAGTAAAAAAAGAACAAGAACAAATGACAAGTAAGAAAAAGCTTGAGAATTCATCGCGGTTATCAATGCATAGTTTAACGTAGGTTATATCGATCGTTAATAATTAATAGGATACACAGCCATCAAACGTTTCAGCTCCGCCATTCTAGAAGTATCTGTAAAGTCAATAGCTATAGCAAGATTAAAATTTCAGAGAAAATTTAAATATCTATAACTTAAGTATCATAAAATTATAACCTATGCCGATATTAAATAAAGATATAATTATTTATTCAATATTTGACAATTCTATCATGTATTTTCTTTACTTTACCTCTAAAAAAAATTATTGCATCTAAAGATATATTACCGTAATATATTTAAGTTTTGTTACTGTGTATATACGTGTTCCATATCGACTTATAAATATATTATTTCACGAGGTATGCTGTATTGGGGGATACGAGGGATACGTGAAATGGTTAATAAAATTACCAGTTGCGAAGGGTAGAATTATGGGAACACATGCATGTGGATATCAACATCTAAGAAATTCGATCCGCTACAGCAAGGCTATAGACTGTCGACATTTGCCAGTCAGTCTAAAGATTTTGGTGCTTGCTATACTTATCAGTTGTGATTGCTTAAAGTATTTTTTATTATAATAATAATTTGATTTATTTCTTTACTGCAAATATCACAATGTTTACTTACAATTATTAAATTAATTAGGAAGCTTATATGGGTAGAAATGCAATATTTTTATTATTTACAAATAACATTTGTAAATAATAGAAAATAAAGGAATAAATCTATTAAATAATTATGATATAAATATAGAAGCATTCTTTAATTGACAAAATTGCAAATTACTTGAAAGATACGTTTAATTAATAATATTGTACGTTACACAAAATTTGCAGGAAATAATTACATGTATTGTGTGCTTCGCAGGTGATATAAAAGAAGATAATATTTTAAAAAATGCGCATACTTAACTTGCTTTTTATACTTTTAACGATATGTGGATGTTGGCGACCAAATTCTTGGTCATCACTGTATAAACGTGTAGCGTACTATGTGTATACAAGCATAATAGTTTTCATAATAAATACCTTTATACTATCGCTATTAGTAGAAATGACTCTAATAATGGACAATACCGATGAGTTTTGCGATAATTTCTTTTTACTAATAGACCTGTTTAATACTTTCTTTAAAGCATTCATTTTGCTTATAAATCGCAAAAACATTAGTATGCTAATCGATATACTGACAAAGAAACCATGTGAACCGTCGACATCGGCTGAAATAAATATTGTCTATAAATTCGATAAAAGTATAGAGTAAGTATTAACAAGCATCAATAACATCATAATATACCGATAATTACTTAATATTAATGAAACTATTAAAATTTATTTTGTGTTATTTTTCACATTTGTACGTAAATTTTTCTTTTTTTTATTTAAATTTATTTACACATTTACACTTGATATAATTAATGTATCGAGAATAGAAATGTGCATTAGAACACACCTAAAAATTATTAAAAATATATTGTTTTTTTTATTTAACCCATAAAGTTCCCGAAGTCTTTTCTGTTTTGTTATTATGTATCTTGGCTTTTAATAAAAAATTTTAGAATGTATTGATATTTAGGCGTAAAATGAGTTGCTCTTTCCGAAAGCGGTGAGAGAATGGAATATCTGAAAGAAAAGATTTAAAAAGTTGAAGGGGTGAAAGTAAAAAAAATAAGTGGTCAAGTCTTTCTACTGACAAATATTCAATTATAATAACTAATTTCATCTGCTTCTTGAGTAAAATAAATCTATATGATTATTATTTGAGTGACCTATAATACCTATAAATTTTACTTAAAGCGATATACAAAATTATTTATTAGTTAAATATTTTTTAGTAAATAGGCGACAATATAAAAGGTTAAAGCTCTCGCAACAATAAACAATTACAATATAGGCAAATGAGAGCCAAAACGCAGGTAGCAAGGCGACAAAATTAACTGTATTTAAACACTTATATAAAGAACGATCAAACGTTTCGAGTCTTCGCTTTGGACCATCCTCAGTGATGAAATATAAAAAAAATTACATGCAATCAAGTCGTCGTCAAACAATAAAAGATCGCCATTCCAGCCATGCCGTCAATTCCGCAGAGTCCGCATTGCCATAAATCCTTCGATCGAGTACGTCGTCTCAATTCGTTAAACAGCGGAACGATGCAATTTCCCGGGGCGACTGTTGCCTTAATTAAACACAGAACTGTTACAAAATCTGACCAATCAATCGGGAAACAGAAGACAAGCAGTATTACCTGACAGTCACCACGTGGAAATTAACGGACATCGTCATCGAAACGTAACTTATTATCATTGTGTTTACTGTAAAATGTATAGGTCGCGTCGTTATTGCGGGAGAGCGAAACTAATACTGTTCACGGGAGACACGACGTGTCGAGCACAACAAATAGGCATTAAATATATAACCCCGAGAGGCGAAGTTACGTATGCGAAATTCTCCCGATAAACGCTGCTCAACTTCGCCGTGTTCTCCTGCAGATTAATGCCATTGGCTTGGCGCTTAATGTGAACCATCTCCGAGACGCTCCTTCAGGTATAAGATCTTTCTCTGTCCAAAATCGTGACATTATCCCAATCGAACTCATGTCCTTCTAAGCGGTGCTGGGACACGACCGACAAATTTTCCGCCCTTCCGCTAAACTGATTACGGTGTTTTTTAACCCGCGTGCCAGACTGTCTCTTCGTTTGGCCAACATAAGAGGCGTCGCAATCACGTCAGTTAATTTTGTAAACCACCCCACTCTGTGCAAAATCATGCAATACATCCTTGTGTGGCTTAACAAACCGATTTAGCTTATTTATACCGACGAATGCTGTGCGGCAGCTAAACTTTTTTAACGTGTTGCTAAGAGCGTTAGAAATTTTGTCAATATAAGGAATGACAAAAAACTGATCGAATTCCCCATTCTTAGAAGTCGAAATACGCGAATCCGTTACCCCCGTCCTCCCCTGTTCGTCGACCAATTTGAGCAACCTTGTCTTTACGTGCTTAAAAATGAAATCCCGAGGATATCCGTTGACCAAAAGGATATTGACAAGTTTACTCAAATTTTCTTGGTGATATCTCGGGTGAGACAATAAAAACGCCCTATCAACCAAGCCAATAATCGTGCCTATTTTTTGACAGGTCGGGTGGTGGGAGAAAAAGCTTAAATATCGCTCCGAAAAAGTTGGTTTGTGATACCAATTGAATTCAATTGGTATCACATTCCATTGTTGACCCTTACCGTGGTATCAAAGAAATTAATCGCCCGATTACGTCCAACTTCAACCGTAAATTGTAATCTCTTATGAAAGGAATTAAATATTTCCAAAACTGTCTTGACAAGTGAGAGCGGGATGGACATCAAAACGTCGTCCACGTATCTGCGATAAATCGGTATAAAAATGGGAAGGCGTTCTAATGCCTTCCTCTCCAAATCTTGCAGTACTAAATCAGCCACCACAGGAGACGGAGAGGATCCCATCGGCGAACCAAACGTTTATCTATAAACTACCCCATCAAAAACAAAATACGTTGAATCCAGTACAAACTGGATAGCTCTCAAAAATTCTTCCTGTGGTATCGTAGTGTTAGCTGTGATGTAAGGCTACCTATCCTTAATACCAGTCAGAACTAACTCCGTAGGAACGTTTGTGAACAGCGAGACCACATCAAGGGAAATCAGCTCGAAATGGTCTTCCAATCGTGTACCCGCCAGGCTCCTAATTAGCTCGAAGCTATTTTCCACGCGACTGTTAGCTTTAGGCACGCTCCCCTGTATTATATCTTGTAAGAACTTAGCTAATGGTTGTAGCGGACTGTTAACGATACTATGATCCTGAGCGGACAGTTGGCTATGTGAATCTTCGGAAGACCATATGCTCATGGGATAACGTCGTCAGTGCAATTGAGGAAATTATACTGTCTCTGTGTGATAAATTTCTTTCCTAGCCACGCTTTAAGGAGAACCTTGAGATCTGTAGTTATTTTACCTGTAGGGTCCTTATTTAACACTAAATACGTATTCTCATCTCCGAGCATCTCTTTCATCTTCCCCATGTAAGTGCCCCTGTCCAAAACTACAGTGGGGTTACCCTTGTCAGCCTTAGTGACTAATATATACGTTAACATTATTTTTAAGAAATTCCTTTGTCTCACGGAGCGCTTGAATTAATGGACGATCGTGGAGCTGGATCGGCATATTTCCGAAAACTACTTTCTTGATGGTTTGTATACAGTGATTGTGAACGCCTTGACGAAAGTTGGGGGGAAAACAATTCACACTCGACTCGACGTACTTAATAAATTCACACGCTATTTTTCCCCCGCTTCTAACCTGTTGCATGGAAAAATTTGGACCTAATTGTAACAGTCCTTGCACCGCGGCTGGCAATGTGACGGACGAGAGAGATTGGTTAACCATTAAAGCGAAGGACCGAAACGTTTGATCGTTCTTTATATAAGTGTTTAAATCCAGTTAATTTTGTCGCCTTGCTACCGGCGTTTTGGCTCTTATTTGCCTATATTGTAATTGTTAAATAGGCGACGTTACTTACTTATTTACATTTAATTTGAATCTTTGTATTCTTTTTGGATCTCCCACTTTAATGCCGACTTCATTTTTGGAATGAGCAACTCCTTTATTTTACTATATAAAATACGGTCTAAAAATTTTTATTACAACCGGAGTTAAGGATTTAAAAGGGTAAAAAGTAATTATTATAAATAAATAAATAAATAGGTAGATAAATAAAGATAAGAATAAAAAATTTACATAAAATCTAAGAATTAAGATTATTATATATGTATTTGAGGAACATTTTATAATTATTTTAGAAATACTACTTGGTACTACGTATATCTGGAGGTGATAGCATATTTATGGATGGTGCTATCTCTTTTAATCAATAACTTCAGAAATAGAATATTACCGTACAGAGCATGGTTCCCATTTGATTATTCGTCAACGTTTCGGTTCTCTCTGATGTTCACTTATCAACTGATAGGTATAGCTGCGGCAAACATCATTAATATTGCTTGCGATTCTCTCATCTGGGGATTATTAGTCCATATTTGCTGTCAAATTGAGATCGTAACTCATCGCTTGAGAAGAATTATATCTCATTCAAACGTTCTTCGCGATTGTGTGCATCATCATTATGATATATATAGGTTAAGTTTTACAATTTTGTCAATCTTATAAATCTTTACAATAGTTTTTAAATTAATATACATGTATTGTTTACATCTGAATATAATATCGTTCTCATCAAGTATATATTTTATTAAAATATATGTTATTACACAAACAAAATTATTAAATTTTAGGCTTGCGTTTATCGTAAATGAAAGGTTTAGACTGACTATTGCTATGCAATTTATAACAACTACATCGGTGGTATGCTTTTGCTTTTATCAATTAAGTATAGCAACAACGAAAGCCAGACATATTGAAATTATATCATATGTATCTGTTACTTTGATTGAAATCTTCTGCTATAGTTGGTATGGGAACGAATTAAAGACAAAGGTATGGTAATAGATATTTAGTACTAGGAGTGATGGGTATCTATGCTTTTAATTAAATGCTGATGTTATTCTGTATAAATTTTGTTGCAAAATTCTAACAGTCTGTTATCAAAACATCTTAATACCTACGAGGGAGGGAGTCCCGTTTACCTACATTCCCAATTGCCAATAGCTTTGTTTGCTTACAACATTTGCCGACAGCTTCGTTTGCCAACATTCCCGATTGCTTACAGAGCGATTGTCAATATAAGCATTATATTGCGCACATGTAATAATTAAAAATACGAATGTGCGTTTGCGCACATGGTCTTATTATGCACAAACTCATTGCACATGCCGATTGCGCACATGACATTATTGCGTACACAATACACAAAAGTTGGAAATCCGTGTATGTGCGCAATAACGTTATGTGTGCAATGTGTATGTACGAAATAAAGTCATGTGTGCAAAAAGTATGTGCATGCGCAATATAAGCGTGTGTGCAAAGTGTTAATATTTAATAATATTCTTATTTCATGTGTGCAATGTGTATGTGTGCAATAAAGTCATGTATGCAATGTGTTTGTGCGTAATAAGGTCATGTGCGCAAACTTATGTTCGTATTTTTAATTATTACATGTGCGCAATAATGCTCGTAGACAATCGCAAATCGCTCTGTAGGCAATCGGAAATGTCGGCAAACAAAGCTGTCGACAAAATGTTGTGGGCAAACAAAGCTGTTGGAAATCGGGAATGTAGGCAAACGGAGCTCCCCCTCCTCTACAAGGTATCAGTAACATAAATATATTTTGTTTCTTACACAAATGCTATCTATATGGATACGTTGCACACATTTTAATAGAGTCAACAAATGAGTGACAATATTTACGAAATGGAGTGGCTGACGTTGGACAAAAATAATAAAAAGTCTTTAATGATAATAATGAGGCGAACAATTGTACCTATTCAGATTACTTGTGCTTACATTGTTCCCATGAATCTTAATACATTTATGGGTGTTAGTATAAATATTATGAAAGCTAATTTCGTCAAATTTTAGTTTTAGATATATTTAAATATGTTCTACGTATTTAAAGAATGATTTATTATATATTGATTTATTGCATTATTAAAATATTTTTACAAATTCAAACAAATTTTATGAATTCAATTTTAATTATTTAATAAATTAAAATCATGTATATGCTGTTTATTAAATAAATTCGAAAAATACTGAAAATTTGGAATTATTATTTGAAATAATATATAAACAAATTTCAGCACTATATGTTTTTAATGTTAAAATTTAATGTATTTAATATTAATATTGACGAAGTCAGCTGTATTAATAACTGAACAAATTTAGATAAAGATTAAGATTGTCTGTTTACTAATTCTAGATACTTAAAACGTCTTATTCTTTTTACAACTTACTTATACAAAATGTGTAAGTGTGATTTTATGAGAGACTGATGGACTTAAAGCACTACTCAGATATTAATATTAAATCTGAGAAAAGGCAAGAAAGGAAGAAAGAAGATAGTATATTTGCAATTAGTAGTAACAATTAGCATTATAGTTATTGTCACCTAACACACTACATTTAATGTATCACCTTATTAAAGTAGAAAAATAGAAAAGAATAATTAAAAAGTGTTGTTTATTTTATTGTATATTTTTCTTATATTTTTACATTTATTAACATCTATTTTTATATTTGTATTTTACATTTTATACTTTCTTGCTTATCCTGCCTTCTATGATACACTTTGTAATATAATTTTCACATGTTCTGTTTGTAAGGTGAGAATCAGAATCAGAAATTACAGTGCCTAAAATCAATACGGAGACAGAATCATATACGGCAACCTTTCAGTAACACGCAGAATAATTATGAAAAAATAAAATATTTTTAACTAAAGGGAAATAATATTATAATTGCATTATCTTTATTAAAATGTATAAAAATGATAAAATTGTCGACAGAGAGTATTCGTATTCTTTCGTTTCTTATATGCCACTTCTAGTATATTTCAAAAATGCTAAAATTTTGGAAATATAATGGTAAATAAAATTTTTTGCAAGAGATATTCTTCATGAATGCATAATGCAACATAATCGTGTTTTTGAATTTGTATTTATAATACAGTTAATGTCATAAAAATATTAATATTGTTATGTTAATAAAGATGTCAGCGCAGTCATTTTGACTTGCAGATATTAAAATGACAAAATGTGTTTAATTGCAGCTTTTTGCTATCGCTGTCAATAAAAAGTTCAGGTTTACTATTGCTATTCAATTTATGGTAAGTATGTACAATGATGGTATGTTTCTATTCATATCAGTTAATTAAGTCGACCACACAAGGAATGAAAAGTACGTTCACCTGGCGTTATGGAAGTATGTATTATAGCATATGCTGCATGATGAGTGACGCAAATAATTTTTTATTATTGATATATAAATGAGATAAAACTGAAGGTACGCAATCTTCAAAATAATGAATTATGAATAAATTATTATTAAATAAAATAAATAAATAATAATAATTAATTATGAAATTAAAGCCTTGTTTATACATATAATTGATGGCTATATTTTAATATTATTTTGCAACAGATATATAGCCGGCAACTTGTGAGTAACATTTTCGAAATTGAATGGCGTAAGTTTGATCGAAATGTTAAAAAAGATTTTTTCCTAACGCGAGCGTGAAATGGGCCGCTTTTCGCGCTTGTTTTGAGTGAGCAAAACGATCCATTTCTCCACTAGTTGAAAAATGGAGCCATTTCTCAACTAGTGGAGAAATGAAATTGTAAAACAAGCGCGAAAAGCGGCCTGTTTCACGCTCTTGTTAGAAAAAATAGTATAAACAACTCGTGGGAAGAGTGGTCGAGCCCAAATGAGTGTGATGGTCGCACTCGCTTCGCTCGTGCGACCAACTTCACACTCATTCAGAATCGACCACTTTTCCCACTAGTTGTACAATATACTAATTATTGATTATTAAACGTAGTACAATGCTCAATGAATTCACTAGTGCTTATATTATTTCTATTGAATCTTGATTCTTTTGCGGGTGTTAGTATATATAAAATGTTTGTTTTATCACAGGATTAAATAAATCTGATTGAATTTGCAATCAATAACAATATGTATAAATATCCAAATAAGGTAACATAAATCATTTTAGTTGTTTAGTTTTAGTTATTCATGTACGTTAGGGATTCAATTTTATCGTCGCTACAGCGGACTGCGCTATAGAGTAACAATACAGTAACAAAGGAAAATAGATTCCAACTGTTAAATCATTTTAAACTATTCTTAATTAAATTATTCTTTGACTACTAATTTATTTAAAATTTCTATTAAATTTTAATATAAAAACTTATTGTGGGGATGCGTGTGTCGATGTCGATCAGAGATGATAGCGATGGAGAGGAGTGTATGATTAAAGGTAGCGATGGTATGTGGAGGATGCGTCCCCAAAAATACCATGTGACTCTTCGGCGAGTCGCGATGGACACTCCACTATATGCTCGTCTAACTCTTGTCCGATGAGGCGTCGGTGAGAGTGTCGATCGGGACAATGAATGTTGCTGTCGAATTTGTTTATATATTTGGTCGGCGCGTTCGAGCGCTCGCGAGAAAACGTGGCTGAATATGTTGCTGTCTTGGTAGGGGCGCACGCGCGGCCGCCACACTTATTATTTTTAAATAAACGTTTATAAAAATGTTTTTTATTCAAGTTTACATATTTCATTATTTCTACATGTTATTATATTAAAATCAATTATCAATCTTTTTTATATGAAAAGCCATATTTGAAGAATAAATGCTGCGCGATTTTGTCGTTATAATTTAATGGAAAAGAAGGAAGAATTGATCACTACAAACATTCTAGAAGAAGAACAAGTGACAAGTAAAAGAAAGCTTTAAAAATTCAACGTGGTTGACAATGCGTTAACGTAAGTTATACCGATCGTTAATAATTAATAGGATACACAATCATAAATCGAACGTTTCAGCTCCGTTATTCTAGAAGTATCTGTAAAGTCAATGGTTATAGAAAGATTCAAATTCAGAGAAAACTGAAATATCTATAGCTTAAGTATCATAAAATTGTAACCTATAGGTACCGATATTAAATAAAGATATAATTTTTTATTCAATATTTGAGAATTCTATTTCGTATTTTCTTCACTCTGCCTCTGAAAAACATTATTGCATCCAAAGATATATTACCGTAAGGTATGTAAATTTTGTTACTGTGTATATACGTGTTGCATATCGCCTCATAAATATATTATTTCACGAGGTATAACATATTGTGAGGGATACGTTATAAGGGATACGTTATGAATAATGAAATTACCAGTTGCGAAGGGTGAAAATATATGGACACACATATGGATGTATCTTATACATACTAAGAAATTCGATCCGACAGCAAAGCTATAAACTGTCGACATTTGTCAGTCAGTCTAAAGATTTTGGTGCTTGCTATACATATTCGTTGTGATCGCTTAAAAAGTATTCTTTTTTTATAATAATAATTTGATATTTCTTTACGGCAAATATATCACAACGTTTACTTATAATTATTAGATTAATTAGAAAGCTTATATCGTTAGAAATGCAATATTTCTATTATTTACAAAAAACATTCTTTAATTGACAAAGTTGCAAATTATTTTAAAGATACGTTTAATTAATAATGCTGTACGTTGCACTAAATTTTTGCAGAAAACATTTACATGTATTGTGTGCTTCGCAGGTAATATTAAAAAAATATAATTTTTTAAAAAATGCGCATACTTAAGTTGACTTTTATACTTTTAACGATGGCTGGATGTTGGCGACCAGATTCTTGGTCATCACTGCATAAACGCGTAGCGTACTACGTGTATACAAGCATAACAGTTTTCTTAGTAAATACCTTTACGCTATCGCTATTAATAGACCTCACCCTAATAACGGACAATGCCGACGATTTTTGCGATAGTTTCTTATTTATAATGGACATGTTAAATGCTTGCTTTAAAGTATTCATTTTGCTCATAAATCGCAAAAACATTATTATGATAATCGACATACTGATGAAGAAACCATGTAAACCGTCGACATCGACTGAAATAAACATTCTCTATAAATTTGATAAAATCATAGAGTAAGTATAGAGTGTTAACAAATCATCAATAATATCATAATATATTTTATTATTGTTTAATATTAATAAAATTATTGAAATTTACATTGTGTTACTTTTCGTATCTAGATCTTTTACGTAATATTTCTTTTTCTCTTTAAATGTTCAAATTCATAAATCATAAAATTAATGTACGGTAAATAGAAACATGCAATAGAGTTATTAAAAATATATTGTTTTTTTTTAATTAACCCATAAAGTTCTCCAAGACTATTCCGTTTTGTTACCATGTATCTTCAGTTTTAATAAAAATTTTTGGAACGCATTGGTATTGAGGCGTAAAGTGAGTTGCTCTTTTCGAACATCTGGTTGGCGATGTAGTGTGGATTACTTGGAAAAGAAGATACAAAAGTTGAAAGTGGAGATAAAAGAGTAAGTGATCTCTACCTCTTACTGACAAATATTCAACTAATAACTAATTTCCTCTACCTTTTTGAGTAGACGAAATCTATATGATTATTATTGACCTATAATATAAATTCTACTTAAAACGATAGACAAAATTATTTATTAATTAAATATCTTTCAGTAAATAGGTGGAGTTATTTACTTATTTACTTCTAATTTCAATCCTTATACTTTTTCTGGATCTCCCTTTAATGCCAATAATACATTTTTGGAAAAAAAATTACCTTTATATGTATGTACCAAATGCGGTCTAAACCTTTTTATTGCATACGAAGTTACAAGAATTTAAGAGCGTAAAGAATAAATAAATAAATAGATAAATATAAAAATAAAAAAATTATATACAATTTATGAAGATAATGTATGTATTTGAGGAACATTTTATAATTATTTTAGAATTAATACTTGGCGCTTTGTATATTTGGCAGCGGTAACGTTATCATTTTTCGTGTTATCTTCTTTATCAAGCTTGAAAAATGGAAAATTGACATACAGAGCATGGTTGCCATTTGATTATTCATCAACGTTACTGTTCTATCTGGCATTCATTCATCAAATGATAGGTATGACTGTCGCAACAGTCGCTAGTATTGGTTGTGATACTTTCATCTGGGGAATATTAGTCCATATTTGCTGTCAAATTGAGATCTTAACTTATCGTTTGAGAAGATTTATATCTTATTCAAACGTTCTTCGCGATTGCGTGCGTCATCATTATGATATATTCAGGTTAAGTTTTACAATTTTGCCAATTTAACAAAATTTACTCAATAATTTTTAAATTATTATCGTGTACATCTGAATATCGTTCTTCCAGTATATTTTATTCAAATATGTTATTATACGAACAATTTGTTAAATTCTAGACTTGCGTTTATTGTAAATGAAAAGTTTAGACTGACTATTGCTATCCAATTTATATTAACTACATTGGTGCAATGCTTCTGTCTTTATCAAATAAGTATAGCAACAACGAAAGCCAAACATATTGAAATGATATTATATATGGCTTGTATTTTAATTCAAAACTTCTTCTATTGTTGGTATGGAAACGAATTAAAGATAAAGGTATGGTAGATATTTAGCTGGTATGGTAGGTATAGATGTTCTCAATTAAATGCTGAAATTCTAATAGTATTAAATAATTTTAACATCTACGAGGTATCAGTAATATAAATATATTTTGTTTCTAACACACATGCTATCTATGGATACATTTTACATATTTCAGTAGAGTCACCAAATGATTGACCATATTTTCGAAACGGAGTGGCTGACATTGGACAAAAATAGAAAAAAGTCTTTAATGATAATAATGAGGCGAACAACTGTACCTATTCAGATTACTTGTGCTCGTATTGTTCCCGTGAATCTCGAAACCTTTATGGGTGTTAGTATAAATGTTATAAACCTAATTTCGCCAAATTTTAATTTTAGATATATTTAAATATGTTCTATGCATTTAAGGAATAATTTATAATATATTGATTTATTATATTATTAAAATATTTTAACAAAAATATATATTATCCATTAAATTTTAATTATTTAATAAATTAAAATTGTTCACGCTATTTATGAAATAAATTTGGAAAATATTGGAAATTTGGAATCATTATTTAGAATAATATAAACAAATTCAGCACTATATGTATTTAATGTTAAAATTTAATGTATCTAATATTATTGTTGACAAAATTAGCTGCGAATTTATTAATTACTGAACCTATTTAGATAACCATGAAAATTATTTGTTTACTAATTGTAGATACTTAAAATGTCTTATTCCACTTACAACTTACTTACACAAAATATGCAAGTGTGATTCTATGAGAAGACTGATGGACTTAATGTACTACTCATATCATAATATTAAATCTGAGAAGAGAAAAGAAAAGAAGAAAGAAGATAGTATATTTGCAATTAGTCATAATAATCAGCATTAGTTAACTTTCATCTAACATAGTATTTAACATATCACGTTATTAAAATAATATAAAAAGATAATCGAAAAGTATTGTTTATTCCATTGCATATTTTTCTTATGTTTTTACATTTGTTATTAGCTGTCTTATATTTGTATTTTACATTTTATACTTTCTTGCTTATCCTGTCTTCTATGACACGTAAATAGAATATAATTTTAACATGTTTTGTTTGTATCGTGGGAATCAGAAATTACAATGCCTAAAATCAATACAAAGATAGAATCTCAAAATTTACTTTTGCAAATAGAGAACTTGGGGCAAGACAGAATATTTCATGTTTAACCATGTGAAATGACCACTAAGCACTAAGTATAAAAAAAACAATCCACTTTTTCAACACAAATCCTGTTATTGCATCCTTCTTTACATGTAAAGATGGTTGAAACTAACAAACATGTATATGAATAATTAATTTAGAAAGCAATATTTGAAAAAGTGTCATTTGTAGCGTCTTGCAAATAGGCAGGACAAGACGAGGCACTTTCATTTACCCGCCCTAACCGTTTTTCAACACGGTCTTCCTTTTTTTTTCAAGACACGGAATTCTTTCTATATTTAATTCGTTGTTCTTTATTCCTCTCATTGTGCATGAGCTCTAAACTTATATTTGAAGGATGAATGCTGCGCTACTTAGACGTTATGATTTCATGAAAAAAGGAAGGGAGATTTGAGCACTAGTAAAAGAAGAAGAAGAACAAATGACAAGTAAGAAAAAGCTTTGAGAATTCAACGCGGTTATCAATAATGCATAGTTTAACGTAGGTTATATCGATCGTTAATAATTAATAGGATACACAGCCATAAATCAAACTTTTCAGTTCCGCTATTCTGGAAGTATCTGTGAAGTCAATAGCTATAGCAAGATTAAAATTTCAGAGGAAATTTAAATATTTATAGCTTAAATATCATAAAATTATAACCTATGCCGATATTAAATAAAGATATAATTTTTTATTCAATATTTGACAATTTTATTCTGTATTTTCTTTACTTTACCTCTAAAAAACATTATGTCATTTAAAGATATATTACCGCAATATATGTAAATTGTTACTGTGTATATGTAATATGTTACTGTGTATATACGTGTTGCATATCGACTCATAAATATATTATTTCACGAGGTATACTGTATTGTGAGGGATTCGTGAAATGATTAATAAAGTTACCAGTTGCGAAGGGTGGAATTATGGGCACACATGCATGTGGATATCAACATCTAAGAAATTCGATCCGCTACAGCAAGGCTATAGACTGTCGACATTTGCCAGTCAGTCTAAAGATTTTGGTGCTTGCTATACTTATCAGTTGTGATTGCTTAAAGTATTTTTTTAAATAATAATTTAATTTATTTCTTTGACGGCAAATATCACGATGTTTACTTATAATTATTGGATTAATTAGAAAGCTTATATGGTTAGAAATTGTAGTATTTTTATTAAATCTTTATAATAAATATAGAAGCCTTCTTTAATTGACAAATGTGCAAATTACTTTAAATATGTTTAATTAATAATATTGTACTTTACACAATGTTTGCAGGAAACAATTACATGTATATTGTGTGTTTCGCAGGTAATATAAAAGAAGATAATCTTTTCAAAA